TGCTTGGAGAATTAATTAATACTAATATCACTATTATTATTTTAACCTTGTTATAGTAGCAGTTTATCAAAGAGAAGGGACTTGTAATGAGACCTGCAGTTGGTCACATCTTGGTTAGACTGATGACCTCTAGAAGACCATTCCATAACCCCTCAACCTACAGTCCTACCAAGACTGCTTTCTCTCCGTCTCTAATGTGGTTTCTACTGGTTTGTGAGCTGTGAGTAATACAACTATATTTCTGGATGAGGTGGTTGCTAAAGTAATGGAGTCCTGACCAACTGAAGATTATCACAAGGCTTTAAAAAGACAATAGGGAGGCCCTGGGAGATGGTGGAGGGACTGAAATACAGTGTACTCAGAGCAGTCCATCCCACTGAGGAAGGTGGGCAGACGCATTCTGTACGAGATGGAATCTCTGCATTGCATCCATCTTAGTCACTACGTACAGCAAGACATGGTAATACAGTCTGAAGGAGATTGACCAGCAGGAAGGGATGGCATTTCTTGTAAGGTGCAGGTGGAAGTAGATATTTGTCACTACTGGGGCTACTTACTCGTCTAGCTTTTGTGATGCACAGAACCCTGAGGCTATTACTAGTTTGAGAAACAGAACGCAGTTTCCTTCAATGGAAGGGGGAGGGAGGACAGCATATCTGAAGAGTTGTTCCCCTTCTCTAGACAAGATCACCTCAAAATCAGATGGTTTGAATGCTGCACTGTCTGCTTCCGAAGCTTCAGAGGGGTAGCCAAGTTAGTCTGTAACTAAAAAAAACCGTAAAAAACAACGAATAGTCTTGCAGCACCTCAAAGACTAACAAAACATGGAGATGGTATCATGAGCTTTCATGGGCACAACCCACTTCTTCAGATGATAGGAGTATTAAAAGTTCAGATCCAAGAATAAATAAGGGAAGGTGGGGGGAGGAGAGGGGAAAAAAGAAAAGAGGAAAAAAATAAGGAATTAGATTGTTCAAGTTACGTGAGGCTGGTAAGAACAATTTGCACCTGTCATATTGGTAGTGAGTCACTTTGAGGCCAGAAGTGTCAATGCTCTGAGGAGGGTTTCTGAGGTTTGCTGACTTGAAGCAGCCTTTGATAGTTTCTATTTGCAGTGGAAAACAGTTGCTCTTTGCTGATTGTCACCAGCCAGGAGGATCATGGATAGACTTTGAATTCAGTTGCTGACTAAAGGAGAACCTGAGTCAGAATCTAGCTGCAGCCTGCAGCCTTTCCACCTTGCACTGTGATCCTACCAAAATGTCTGTGCTAGGGTTCTAGCCACACACAGATAGCAAAGATTTCATGACATTTTTCATAAGAGCAAGAGTGTCCTGCATAAATTTAAACCAGGACAATTACATTCCATTTCCTTACTTTTCCCCCTGCAATTTCACTCTCATGGTATATTGTTCACTTCCTGTCCTAAAATAGTTGTGGCATGCTGCCCTGGCCTATCACACAGTAACTGGCCTCCTTAGTGATGGTTTCCTTTCAATTGCTCTGAATCTGAAGTGATGATTTTATATTCCCTGCCTATTTACAAAGTGTTTTCTGGGGCACAATTTACTCAAGGTTTGAAAGTGCTTTGAGACTCTTTGTGTGCACATATTCCTATTCTCCCTTGTCCCCTGAATGGACTCTCCCTGCCGTGTCTGAGAAGAGGAAACCTGTGCTAGATTTATGTCTTCCTGGAATGGACTCAGCATTTAGCCTCCCCAGGAGGGGGAAGAAAATCCTGAATTGGATTTCTGGAATGGATGCTGGATGACACCTCTGAACTTGTTCCAGTTTATGGGCTGCTGTTTTATTTCCAAGTGTTGGGGGGATGAATGAGTTGGTGGGTGAGTGTGCACTGGGACTATTTGTACCAAGATGAGGGGTATTATACACCTGGTTGCACGCCTGGCATTCTCTTCCCAATGTCCTCCAGAACAGAATGTGGTGAATTGCCAACTCATAAGCTTTGTGCATGTTTCTTCCTTGTGATACAGGATGTGATTCCAGGATGGCATAAATCAACTGATTGTTTGATATTTCCCAGGCTACAATAAAGTGTAGCAAGTGACTGGGGATGCTACTCCCAGCTGCTAGTTACTGCGCAGGATGGTTGTAAGTATCGGCTTAGCCATGGGACCCCAAGCATGAAGGCCCATGAGGGCCCCTCTTAAAACAAACCAAATCTCTTGTTCTGCTGCTGGGGATAAGAGGATGGGTGGGGAGATGCTGAAGCAATCTTAAGGAGTCTTAAGGGTCTCCTCACCTAGCCTGCAGAACAAATGTAACTTTTCTACCTCATTTAACCACCTGTGGTTTTGGTTTACTGGGTGTCATTGCCATTCCCTAAACATTGTCAGGGAGAGGAGGCTCTGTGCTTCTGGTAATTGATTTTTGCTTTGTGAGGAGTAGCAGGAGTTCTAGGTAGCAACATGAGCCCTGTCCCCAATAGATTATTATTAGGTATTTCCCTTTCAAATTTCCACTACATGCGTTCTGTTTTGAATGAGAAGGGTGTAGATAATTCTTTCTCACCTAATGACCTGTGAACTTAGCTGCAATTCTGAGGTGCAGCTCACACTTCAGCATGATCTGGGGAAAAGGAAAGAGCACAGACATTTTTAGTCTCAGTCTCTCTCCACTCCCAGTCAGAGGAATCCCTGGTATGTAAGGATGGACTTGATTTAGGGGAGGGATTTTCAGACTGGCACATCCCTACTTCTCAATTTGCCTCTTTTGCCTCTATGTTTCAGGAAATGAATTTCATAGTTTTCAGTTCCAGGATCCCAATAAAAGGTAAAGATGAGCAGGAAAAGTTGTCTTGCAGGAAATGTCAGGACTGGAAGAACAGAGGGTACTACGGGTTAAGACTGGGTTGGCTGAGCTGCTGGAAGTAGCTGCATGGTGGACCTTAGCTATGGGAGCTCTTGGAACTGGAATAGCAATGAGCATTACAGGTCCAAATTGAAGTATGTTGGCTGAGACTTGTGGATGTAAGAACAGGAGAGGAATTCAAGCATGCCGTCTTAAGGAGAAAAATACACTTTAATTTCTAAAAGCCTGTATGGGGGAATGTCAGCACGTTTCACCGCCGACCAAATTGTGAAGCAATTGGCTCATATCAATGCTGAGGCTTTTGAGTGGGATTTCCTCATTACATACAGAACCTCACAGCCATTTGTGGTGAGGAGGGAAGCTAATTCCTATGACGTACTCAAATCTTGGTCCGTTTACTGAGCCTACCACGAGGCAGGCTGGCTACTTACCCAGTAGGAACTGGAATGTGTTTCTTAACAAGCATCACACGGACTAACCAACACAGTAAGAACATACGAGTTGCTATAGGGATTATGCCAAGGGTCCATCTCATCCAGTATCTTGCCTTTGATATGGATCAGAAGGAGACGCCTGTGAGCAAGCACAAGAATACCTAGTAGTGCCTTATTATGTACTTTGATCTATTCTGTAGGGGGAAATTCCTTCCTAATTGTAGGTCCTACTGATCTGGGACTAGACTGGAACCAGTAACCCAGAAGCTAAAGGTCTGACTTTCTCCCAGTCATAGAGCCAGCATTGAATAGGTCTCTTACAGATGAAGGCTCTGAGTAACCATCCTCTAGCAGCAGCAATCTGATGAAAGGCTCCGAGAATGACAGGGCTTGAAAAATCTATTCACCCAGGACAAGTAGGTATCTTTCTTGGCCATGGCCCATCCACTGCTGCAGGGCCTATGTTTTTATTTTGAAAACCTCCGGCCCTCAAGGAAACCTCTTTGGTGTCAAACAAAGCAAAATGGCTTCCTTCCGGCCTACTCCAGTGCTTCCACTGATGGGAGGAAGGGGAGGATGGGACACTGCTGCTATGTGCCTTCGGGAGGCCTCGGGGAGGAGTCACCGTGTGGAGCAGGGGCCCCTGGAGATCTCAGCCACCCCAGCAGAGGGCTGTGTGTGGGGAGAGGGCCTGCTATTGCCAGCACCACTTCAGCTGAGGGCTGAAGGGCCTTCTGCTTGGTGTGAGGTGGGGCCCTCTGCTGAGTTGTCAGGCACATGTATTCAGGGAGGCCCAGGTTACCCTGCTCCTCCATTTCTGGCAGCCAGCCCCTGCCTCAGCAGAGAGCTCTGGGCCTGAGACAAGTATAAATGGATTTTTGAGGAGTGGGGTGGAGTGTCCCCAGCATTAACATATTGGCATAGTATTGGTTTATTTGGGGGTGAGGGTAGTATTAATTGGTAACACACTGTTTTGCCATCAGGAGAGTGGGCTCATTGGGCCCAGGCAGTGGGGGCTGCGTGTCCAGTAGGAGATGGGACAGGAAGTCTGTGACTTATAGTATCAGTGTGTTTCAGCCTGTGGAGCAGGCTTAGTCCTTGTGCTAGAGCCGTAGCTTTCAATCAGTGGTCTGCAGTCTTCTGGAGGGGTCTGTGTCTCCACTGGAAATATTTTAGGGGTCAGCAAATGAAAAAAGGTTGAAAACCACTGAGCTAACAGAGATTGGGTACATTTTTCAAGCCCTGCATAATTAACCCCACATATGGGATATTGTCAGCCTGATTTTCTCCTTGCACCAATGTCAGCCAGGAGCAGTATCAGTCCTGAGTCAGGCCTAAAATATCATGAGGCATTAAAATAATAATGTTTGGGTGGGGGTGTCTTCTGGTTTTGAGCTTTAAGGATTCCTGTTTCCCAGTTTTTCCCTGCTCACAAACCTAACTTTTATTATTATTATTATTATTATTATTATTATTTTATTATTTTATTTTAAAGTGAGTTTCTCATGAGTTCCAGGACTCCAGGAATGGGAGCTCTAAGAAATACAACAAATATTGGAGAATCACAATCAAATCACAAGTGTTGACAACACAGTGGGAAGAATTTCACTAGTGTTGATGGAGTCGATCTCCATGAGCTAGGCTGACTTATCCAGCTGAGGATTTGGCCCACTGGAGTTCTGCTGGTGTCCAACCCGTGTAAGCGAGAGCTGAATCGGGAGAGTTGTGCCAGATTTGGGAACTCTTCTGAATTGTTCTTACCCCTGCAGACTCTCCAGTAGCTCGAGCGTCATGTGTCTGTAATATTTGTGTCGGATGTAAATCATTCTGCCTCTGAGATCTTTGAAGTTAATGATAAACTGAATACTTCGCAAACATTAACAACCTGGCTCTGGCCCTCCCCTCTTTCCTTATAACCTTTGTATCTGCTTCAAAATGCCCCCTCCTTACTCTTTGTCCTGTGAGACAAAATAACTGCATATCTTTTTGTCTGTACTCAATCACACAGTTTTACTGTGCAGTGACACAGGGTCTGCCCAGATCAGCTTCACAGCTTTGTGCAGCCCATCATAAACACACCATGCTGAAAATTCAGAACTGCTCTGTGAGCTTTGAGATATGTAGCAAATATGGTGCCGGTCACAATCGTTTGAGATGTGAATGCTCACATAGGATCCTAGGCACATTCTTGGACAGTGGAGGTGTACAATTGGGAATGGCGGCTTTGAAGTCTTGGAGAGTTCCTGAAAAACCCCACAGGGTTTGATTGAGATAGGATCTGAAGACTAGAGGCTGGGTGAATCCTCCTAAAGATAAGGAATGAGATTGACATGTACTCTGAGAGACCATAAAGAATCCAGGTCAAATTAAGCTCTGGCATACACTATAACACAGTCAATGAAATAACCACCTAAACCTTTTATTACAACCAAGAAGCATGTACTTTCCTTCCTTCCACATCCGCTTCCATCTACGTATTTTGTGTTCCTTGTTGCCATAGTAGTGGAACTCTCACAGGATTATAAATTAATAAGACCTATTTGCCCTTCTGTCTCTACCTTTGGGAGTAGCCTAAATGGTAGAAGAATTTTCTCCCCAGGTGCGCCAACCCTAAGAGGAGTTCTTGTGGAAAAGCAAGCTTGAACTAATGGACTTTGCATTTGGTGCAGACTGTGGTGAGATCAGTGCTCCTACTTGCTTCTGGCAAAAGTGCTTATCATAGTCTAGGGCTGTTTCCTGCACTCGTGAGTCTCCCCCGATTGGCTAAGTTTAATTGGTCTCTGCAGCTGTGGCAGAGGGAGAAGCGTGCTCTGGAGTGCTGGTCTCAGTGTTGTCTCAAGTCTTAAAGGAATTAAATTAGATTTGGTATGCCAAGGAGGAGCCAGTGGAGCAGCGAGGTGATGTGTCGTCTGTGGTGGTTTACAATGATGCACCGGATTGTCTGTTTGTGTGAGTAGAAGTTTCTGTAGATTGTTTGGCTTCATCCTCCTCAGAGCCTGAGTTTCAGAGGTAGAGGGGATCCCACCTCCACCTCTAGCCCCAGCCTGATGTTCACTTTTGCATAGAATTTCATGCTATAACGAGAGGTCCAGTTCCTTTATCATGTGGCAGGTGGTCTGCTCCTGGCTCATCTCAGCTCACCCCCAAACTTGCTGACCCTTTAGGAGAGGATTTACTTCCCCTTTCACACCTAGCAAGAGTCAATGCCTTTATGTGTGTGTGTACGTGTGCGTGCATATGGTGGGAACTCATATCTTTTGTCTGGAATTTGCTTCTTGCTACTTTCCCATCTGACAACAGCTCCTCTGGCCCACTCTTAGATGGGGAGACTAGCAATTGGATAAAGGGGATGGAAACATATCTCCTATTGCATGGAGAGAGGGAGTGCGCCCTTTTGGGTTCCTTTTTCATCTGTCTTTCAGTACTATTGAACCCATTACCCTGACTTGATGGTTTTAGCTATGACAGCTGTTTTTGTTTTTAAATTGCCTTTGTCCAGTGGCAACACTTCTAGCTCCTAACATGTAGGGGATGGAAGGCAAAGGGGTTAAATAACAGTCCAGACTTTTGGTGGAAGGGAGAGAAAAGAGGAAGCCAGATTAATTTTTGAGACTATCCCTGCTCAGATTTCCCTCGGAATAAGAGGATTTCTTTAGGACATGTGTTGTGGGTGAACTTCCAGATGGTTTTGTGGATTCAGGTATCTCCCATACCCCAGAAGTTGAGATCATTAGCAAAACCTTTTTAAGGTCCCTTCTCCTACACACTACACTCTGTTCCAATTATGTCTTCTTTTCTGCCTCAACCTTCTATTCTCCTTGCCTCTCATTCCAACCGTTCTCTGGCTTTCCCTTCTCACAGCCCCCTAGCCTTTGGGTGATATCGCATATGAGTGAGCAGTCTGTATTTTGTCCCTACCTTGCCATCTAGTGTAATTATATCTGCGAGCTTGGGGACTTCAGTGGATCAGAGGTGTGCAGAATTCCATGCTTCCCATCCCCTTGCCCTGACACTAATGGGATGTTCTAGAATATACCAGGTCTAAAGACAGTGGCCAGACCAGAAGAGCTCAAATTTGCTGAATGCCAAGGAGGAACTCAGCAAAGGTGGCAGGCCTGGTCAGAATGGGATGGCGGGAATAGGACTGGATTAGCCTCTCCAAGATTTGAGGAAAAGATTCCAGCTGGAGCCTATACTATCAGAGTTTGGACCTCACTCTGGTTATATCCTGGGCTCCATACAACACTCTTTTCCCCAGTGGTCCAGGGACCTTTTGCAGCCAACTTATAATTGAATGTTACTTCTCTCTTTGTCTTTTCCTCAGGATGAAGATGAGACGCCACAAGCTCTTTCTGACTCTGTGCATGGCTGGTCTCTGCCTCATCTCCTTCCTGCATTTCCTCAAGGCCCTCTCTTACGTTACCTTCCCCCGGGAGCTGGCTTCGCTTAGCCCCAACCTGGTCTACAGCTTCTTCTGGAACAATGCACCTGTCACACCGCAGGTCAGCCCTGAGCCAGGAGGGCCGGAGTTCCTCCGCACACCACTCTACTCCCATTCACCCCTGCTCCAGCCCCTGCCGCCCAGCAGGGCCAGTGAGGAGCTGCACAAAGCTGAGTTTGTATTGCAGGAAGACACCACAGAATATTTTGTCCATACCAAAGCAGGCGGTGTCTGCTTCAAGCCAGGAAACAGGATGTTGGAGAAGCCACCAGCAGGCCGGCTGGATGAGAGGGAAAATGGCGCTGCTTCAGGGCGCCCAGCTCGCAAGCCGCTGAGCACCAGCGGGACAAAGCGGCGGAAGTGGGTAGAGTGCGTGTGTCTCCCTGGCTGGCATGGTCCTAGCTGTGGCGTGCCCACTGTGGTCCAGTACTCAAACCTGCCCACCAAGGATCGGCTGGTACCACGTGAAGTGCCCCGGCGGGTCATCAACGCCATTAACATCAACCACGAGTTCGACCTCCTGGATGCCCGTTTCCACGAGCTGGGGGATGTAGTGGACGCCTTCGTGGTCTGTGAGTCGAACTTCACTGCCTATGGTGAGCCACGCCCACTGAAGTTCCGCGAGATGCTCCTCAATGGCTCCTTCGACTACATCCGCCGCAAGGTGCTCTATGTCTTCCTGGACCACTTTCCCCTGGGGGGACGCCAGGATGGCTGGATCGCTGATGACTACCTGCGCACCTTCCTGACGAAGGATGGCACCGCCCGCCTGCGCCACCTGCGTCCGGACGATGTCTTCATCATCGATGATGCGGATGAGATCCCAGCCCGGGATGGCGTGCTCTTCCTCAAGCTGTACGATGGCTGGACGGAGCCTTTCGCCTTCCACATGCGCAAGTCCCTCTATGGTTTCTTCTGGAAGCAGCCTGGCACCCTGGAGGTGGTTTCTGGCTGCACAGTGGGGATGTTGCGGGCTGTCTACGCCACAGACGGGATCCGCCTCCGCCGCAGAGAGTACTACACCATGCCTGGCTTCCGACAGTACGAGAACAGCACAGGCCATATCCTGGTGCAGTGGTCGCTGGGCAGCCCTCTCCATTTTGCTGGCTGGCACTGCTCCTGGTGCTTCACCCCAGAGGGCATCTACTTTAAACTAGTGTCAGCCCAGAACGGGGACTTCCCCCGCTGGGGCGACTATGAGGACAAGCGGGACCTCAACTACATCCGGGAACTGATCCGGACTGGTGGCTGGTTTGATGGCACCACCCAGGAGTACCCCCCTGCCGACCCCAGGGAACAAATGTATGCCCCAAAATACCTGCTAAAGAACTACCAGCGGTTCCACTACCTGCTAGAGAATCCCTACCGGAGGGCAGAAGGGGCTGGGTGAAGGGAGCTGGGCTTGCATGGGAAATGGGAACTTTAGAGCAAAGGGGAAGAATGAGAAACGTCTTTTATTTTCCTTTTTATTTTGTTTCCAGCCAAGATATGTAGTCACTCTGCATTGTCTGCCCTTCTGGCAGTGTGACTTGGGGTGGGATTCCCAGTCTCACTAAGGAGGGCCGGAGGAATGGAGAGGAAATGGGAACTGGCCCTGGAGGAGGCAAAAAGATTGTGGCACATCCCCCTCTATCTTGAGATCTTATCCCAGGGCAGGTTTTCCTACATGAGGGGGTAGAGGAAGCAGCTGCCCTCCACTGTGGGACAGGTTTGCATGCCCGTGTGAGTCTGAACTCGTCGATGAGCATGAGAGTGGGCAGGCGAATGTATGATCATGTGCATGTGAGTGGATGTGTGTGTCATGCGCGTTCATGTGAGTTTGTGTGTACATTTGCAAAAGCATCTCTATATGCATTTATTTTTTTACTGCAGAATTCTTTAAAGCACAGCTTATCCCCGCCCCCTCCCCCCACCACTAACCTCATGCCAATGCATCTCTCATGGGCTCCACTCTGCCTAATATGCTGCTGGTCTTGGAGCTTGCAGATAAGGGAAATGGGGCGGAACACAATGCTTGTACTCCTTCTCTACTCCCACTGGGCTATCACTCTGCCCCCTCACCTTACCTCTGCCCAAAAAGCCTCAGGCTGTGTCCCAGCAACCTGCTTTCATCAGGGGAACAAGCTACAGGGGTCTTCACTAGGTTGGATGTATGTTGTGTTCACAAGTGCGTGGATTAGTGTGTGCACGAGTGTGAATGTGCATGGATTTGGTAGGCATGTGGCAGAGTGTTTGTGTTTTTGAGAGAGAGGTGGGAGCATGGTAGGATTCAGAAGCTCTGCTACATACATAGGAGTTATGGATATTTAGGGAACCCCCTACAAGCCTGCTGTGTCTAGGGGGAGGCTGTAGGCTCTGTGTTCCGGTGCTCTAAGTGGGCCAGTTGAAAACTAGCTCTGGATGGGGAGGTAAGAATGGGGACAGCCTTAGGGCAGTATTGCTGGCAGTGTCTGGCAGGGTGTTTCTCTCCTCAACATAAAAAAAAATAAAATACTGGTTAATCTGCTCCTTGGAGTAAAAGGGAGGGGGAAGGGGAAATCCCAAGCTCCTTGGAGCCAAGCCTGGGTATTGGGGCCAATGGGCTGCATCTAGGCCCAGCACCCATACTAGGGACAGTTTGTCAGGGAGAATCCACTGTGGGGATTACTCCTGGAATGTGCCTGCCTTGTGGCTGGGAGGGTGTGCGATCCAGAACCATTTGTGTGGAGAGTCCTGCAGTGAGCGGGGGAAGTGACAGAACTAGAAACAATCCGAACCAGCGAGCTAAGCTCTTTGTCCCTGTTGTCTGTGATAGGGCTTGCTTCTTTCCTTGGCTATCTTGGTTCTTTGGGGTGCCAGCCACCTCCCCCACCCCGTTTGAGCAGATGGCTCTGTAGTGCCTTGAGCCTGCTTTGCAGCATGTAGCGGGGTGAAGGACAGAGCGGGCCTATGTTATTCTTCTCGCTGAGGGAGGATGTTAAAGAGAGAAATGGTGGGAACATGATCCCTCCCCTTGTTTGTAATAAGCATGAGGGAGAAAATGGACTATTCCCTATAAGGAATGCTCCCCTGCCAGTCTGGCAAGCTCTGCTGAAGACAGGGGGCTTTCTTTGCCAGTGGGTCTGTAAATCCCCATGACCATGGGGTTTTAGCCTGGATTCCCATTTCCGTTTCTCTCTTCCCCCCACTTTGTGCTCCCTCCTCTGCTTTTCCGGGGGAAAGTGACAAGTCCCGGAGCTCAGTTCTAAGGTTGTGGCTTCCTCCTTATCTATAAGTATTTCTAAGATTCTTACCACCCAGGTATTTCTAAGGTTCTTATCACCCAGTGCTAGGTGAGCCCGTAGGACTCTGAACTGGGTGAATTCCTTTTCCAAGCCACTGTGGGTCCAAAGTACGATCAAGATAGAATGACATAAAGCACAAGATTGGAACCCCTTGTTCTCAGTGGATCTAAGACATGTTTAATCTTATCTCACTCCTAGCCCCAAGGCACTTGCTTGAAAGAGCAAAAACATCTTTTTGCTTTATTTATAACTGCTGCCATCACCCACAACACTCTGCTCCATGAGATCATTGGTGGCTGGCACACAGAATGGGAGAAGGGGAAATCTCCACCCTTCCCCCCGGGAGCAGGCTATTATTGTGCCCACGTGATCCATCAACTAGAGTGTTCCAAGCACAGGCGTGGGACCTCACCGATTGGGATCTACAGCCCAATCTGCCACAGAGGATTCATGACTCTGCTGAAAGAACTTTGGTGACTTACAAGAACTGGAGGGTAATTGCAAAAGGAGGGGCATATGTTAGGGGAGAAGAATTAGCAGAAATGGGTATAGCACAGATGGGCATTGTACTATCCTGAATGGAGGCCAGGGGAGAGTACAATGCATCAGCACAAGGGCCTGATGCAAGAGATTGCAGAGAAAGACGGAGGGACCCAGCAGTTGGTCAAGGCATGGGAGCTCAGAACTTACCTGCAGGCCTTCTGTTTGGATTTGACCTTTCCACATTAACAACAAAACAACCCAAAGTCCAGTTCCAGTTGACTGGAAGGGAGAGGCACACTATATATTTTTGTATGCAAACTCCATGATGCTGGGAGATGCTCAGACACCTTGATGACAGGAACCAGATAGCTAGAACTTGGGTCCCTTCTCTACAGCACAGTCTTAGCCATGAGTCTGGGGTGGGTTCTGGTAGAGGCCAGCAATCTTCCTGGATAGGAAGCTATGGGGGACCAAGCAGACCGTAATACATTCACATGACTGTGCCACCTCCTCCCACCACTGTTTCCCCTTTTGCCTGCTCCCCTTTTCCTCTCCATGGGCTATCTGGGATTTACATTGCACTTCAGGGCATGTTTGCCTTGCCTTATGAATTTCTAATGCACCCATCACTGCTGTAGCTAGGCCTGATCTAGCACAGTCATATAGACTGCTTGCTTCCCTTCCCTCCCCTCTCTTAATTACTCCATTTCCCTCTTCACCCTCCATTTCCCTCTTCTCATTAGCAGCCCCTCCCTTTCCCAGGCATGAGGAACAGATCCCATTGTAATTGCCACTGGATAAGAACTGAGCTCCTTTGGGGACTCAGAGGGCTCTTTATACTAGAGTCCCTCTTTTTTTCCCCCCCTTGCCCAAGCTGGTTAGAAATGAAACTTGAAACAGACTTCTGTGTTGGGAGACTTTCCAGAAAAAACATGTCTGTTTTACCCCTCATATGAATAATTTTTGTAACTGTTCAGTTTAAAGCCAAATCACTTTATATTTATGGTATTTAACTTGTACAACTAATCCTCTCTTGATTGAAGTTAGATAAATTGACCTCTTGTGCGTTTAACATCGTCCTCTTCCTTCATCCTTGCAAGCTACAGGGTGAGGCTTTTGGTAACTAGCGCTGGCTGATTGATTTCTCAGGCGAGGATTCCATCCCAGCCAGGCCCTGAAGAAATAGGAGGCAGAGGTTACATATGTAGTTTGACCAGCTGGCTGAATGGGTGCTTGTAGGAGAGAGACAGATTCGTAAACAAGGAGCAGCACAAAAGTGTAGGATCTCAAAACATGGGTGGGTAGAGAAAGAGATAGATAAGGACTGGTCCAGAGTCCTCATTCCCAAACAATTGGGATGAGCTGTCTGGCTCCTTTGATCAGGTCTTGATCTGGCACTGAAGATGCTGCAAAATGGAGTTTAGAAGGGAAAGCTTAAAAACCCAAAGTTGTGTCTGAGGGGTAGGTATTAACAAGAGGGGAGGGCTGGGACAGGCTGTCAGAGCCAGATTATGTGCTATTTATGTGTGCAACAATAACTGAGAATTAGTACAGCTCACTTCCTCCTCTGCCCACAAACACTTTTTTTAGACAGCTCTTGCTTGGCTCATTTCTGGTATCTTTTCTACCTTTTACCCTTTGCTACCCTTCTTAATTTGAATCACACGAGATACCCTCTGCAATTTCTGGGGCTTACACTCTGCTGTGCACCTGTTTCAGTCTGTTTTATTAATGCCCTTGCTCCTTTGTAGTTTTCAAAGCTCTCTTCCACCATTTCCTCACATTAAGTCCTGAGAGGCAGGCTACTTCCAGGTTCTTCATAAGCACAGGTGTTGGAGCTGGTGGGTCTACTTTACTGGAAAGACTGGGTTGAAGAGGCATCTCCCTGTCCCATCAGTGAAGCAGATGGTAAACCTTAATGATGCTCAGGGCCAGACTGAGTATGATAACCCTAGGGGGACAGGACACAAAGGATGGGATGGGTTTTATGGCTCTGTGATTACTATGAGAGGGCAAACGTTATAGTTCTTTAGTGTTCTTTCTCCAGTATTTGTAATATGTTCCTAGAAGCTGCTGTAATCCCTAAAACTTCTTTGCCTCTAAGTGGAGGACAGGGCGCAACATATTCATACACTGTGGCTATGTCTACATGACAGGGTTTTTGCGCAAAACCAGCCATTTTTGTGCAAAAACCTGTGGAGCATCCACACCTCAAGCGCATTTTTGTGCAAGAAAATCTATAGTCAATCGACAGAACAGAGGGCTTTTTGCGGTGTAGGTATACCTCCTTCTACGAGGCATAACTCCTTTTTGCACAAGCGTTCTTGCACAAAAAGGTATGTGTGGATGCTAAAGAGGAGTTTCTTGCGCAAAAAGAGCCTATCACAAAAAGCACAGGTTCTCTGATTGCCATTCACAGAATGGCCATCAGAACTTTCTTGTGCAAGAGCATCCATGCAGTGTGGATGCTCTCTTACGCAAAAGCACATCGCTTTTGCGATGCGCTTTTGAGGTGTGGATATACCTCTTCTGCAAAAAGCTTCTTGCGCAAAAACCCTGCAGTGTAGATAAAACCTAAGAGTAGGCAAATGAAGAGGCTCTGACTCATCCCATTGATAGGGCAAGGTTGGTGGAGCTCAGAGCAGCAGCTTTTCTAGTTCTCCCAGTCTCTTCCTGAGGCCATAGCTTCTTCTCACACCCAGGAAATACCCTGCTTCATGTCATTTATTACCCACTTTCTTCATTGACTTTCATGGCTGCTACAGAGCTGCACTGTGAGA